TAATCTGCGGGGTGTTGGGATAGCGACTTTCGGTTATGGTGACTGCGGCTCCGTTAAGGAGTTCTATTGAGCGCACAGGATCGGTCTGCGTAGCCTGATGGTGGCTGCTTCTGCCGTAGCCAACATACGCAGTCCAGTGAATTTTGAGTAGCTTGAGAGCACCTCGTAGATCACTCGGAAGGCCTCTCTGGCATCCACGCGATGGTCTGAGTCCATCAGGTGCGCTAGAATGGAACTGTTCATACCTTTTTTGGCCCATTCTTAATCATAGTGGAATGCGTTCTCGTACTCCTTTGAGCAAACGCCGGCTCGTGCGACCAACATATTCTGCCCCACAGTATATAGCAGGTGAATTAATAGACGCACATAGAAGTGGTCTGGGTTGACAGTTTGTCCTTGATCTCTCCGTGTAGGGTGGGAGTAGTCGAGAACAGTACGTGGGCATTAGCTGCTAGAAAGGTAGTTGCTACAGCTTGAATCAGGCGCCTCCTTAAAAGTTCGCTTGGTCCGTTCCCTTGAACTGGGACCCTGGGAAATATTCGCTTCTTCTCTATTGTTAACACCGAGGAATTTGGCGGTATTTTAGCCATATTCTTAGCGATAAATCGACTGAGATACCCATTTTGTCGAAAAAAACGCCTTCAACAACTTGAGCTCCTCTTCGATGCTAGTAGTCAGGCAGATCGCTTTTTCACCCTTTGCGTCAAACATCGTACTAAATTATGTTTGAAGTTTAATATTAGGAGACTAGCACGTCTTCTTACGATAGACTCTACGTTGAATACTCCCGTCAGCCCTTTTACTTAAGAGTACATCGAGGAGTGGAAGGGATCCTGACTGTTCTTCTAAAGTAAATTCGATTGACGAGTACGCCGGATTTACGGTATGCATTAGCGGGGAAATTTGGGTTTGTTCCGATGCAACCACGTAGCGCCCGTATTTCGTCAGACTATTTATCTGATGAAGTAGTTGCGAGGCTTTCAGTTGGCCCATAAACATAATCGCTAGAAGCGAGCCCATAG